TACGTTGCCCTTTCTTGCACGATTCCTTGCAGTTGATCTAACAGAACATCTCACCCTTGAAGGTGTAACTGTCGGCTTGGTTTTGAAGAGCTGCGTCACTCTGTCAGCAAGAGACAAACACTACATTCGCTTCCCAGAAGAACTTCTTTACAACTTCCTGCAGCTGGTTTCCGTTCCTCTGCTGGTGACAAATGTCATCGCGGGTAAGTTACAGAGGGTTTCCAAACTGTCCATGGTACTCCAGAGTCTGAAGGGCTTTCACATAGTTTTTGGTCATTATTTACAGAGCTGACACTGAAATACAGCAAATAATGTTTGAGGATATTTACAGTGTGTAACTTTGCTCTTCAGCACCTTCTGTAATTTGTCTTTGCTGTATTACTTTAGCCTCCCTGTTGTGGTCACGAGGGTTTGTCTTAAAAATCATTAGAATCCTCTTTAAAGCTTACTATGCAGACATCAGCTTATCTTTGTGTTTTTATTCAACAGGAGTTGCCAATGCACCCGTCAGCCCCTCCAGAAAAATCACCGTCCGTGCACTCACGTACTTTGTCATCACCACAATTCTGGCTTTACTAAGTGGTAAGAGAAAGATTTTGCTGGGTTTCGTCAAGTAAAACTCCTTTGGATGTGTTTGATGTGCGGAGCCTGCGGTGAGGACAAAGCTTTTACTTGACCCGACTCTGAAGATCTTTTCACGCTGGTTTGTGCTCCAGTAACTAACGTTCAAGTCCAAAACGTTGATCTGTGCTTGGACTGGGATCGTCACGATTTCCTACTTTGTAACGATGAGTTTTGAGTTTCCCTTTGAACGACTGTGGCTGAGGAGTTTTATAGTCGCTGTGAGACTTGGAGTTGGCCGAGGTGCCCGTTAAACAGAACAATGTCTGCTTGTTTCTCACCGTGCTGCTGACAGAGACTCTCTGTGGTGCACACACCTAAATATCGACCTTGCACTTTGTCTACAGAACTTTTTGTTGTAACAGTAAGAAAGTTTTTAGCTCTTTTGGCTCCAGGTCAATTCTTACTCTTTGGTCACCACATTTCCTTGATATCTGGGTACAAAAAGAATCTGTCTGCCACAAGACTTTTTGTACCCCCACCTTGGCAGCTGTCCCAACGTTGATGATTTATTCTACTGGAGTTAATGTGAAGATGAGCAGATCTGGACTATTCTAATCCTATTATCATTGATATGGTAGGCCTGGGCCTAAAATGATGTCATTTATCATGTGTGCATGATCATGTCATGAGCATGTGTGCAAACAAGCAGGCTAGCTGTTTCACACGAGCTAATATATAATGTCAGTACCCCTGCACGGAGAGGCTGAGCCTGGAGGCAAACCAGTGGCAGTGAGGTCGGTGTACCATTTAACAGAAATACAAACTACTGACCCACTCTTTTTAATTTTCTTATGTTACAGAGGAAAGTTTTGGAATCTTGTCTTGAGACAACCATAAGTAGCGTCTGCGTTATCAAGTGCACATCTTTAACGCTGCCTGCTAAAAGTTGCACATTTTCGAAAACTTCACTTTCAAATGACAATTTTATGGGGTGCTGTTTGTAAAGTTACACAGTCAAAAATTAACAGCAATATTTTACTTTATTTAGCCTTTCATAAGAAAATAAAGTTTTTTTTTTTTCAAAGTTATATTTTCACCATGTCATTCATTATAAATGTCATAGTTCCAAACTAAAAATTTAATTTCTAAGCTAAACATTTAAGTCCTAAACTAAATATTTAATTTGCTATCTAAATATTTGGCTCAAACCTAAATATTTATTTTCCAAGCTAAAATTTATTTTCTAAAACAAATATTTAATTTGCTATCTAAATATTTAGCTTGAACCTAAATATTTATTTTTCAAGCGAAACGTTTAATTTCCAAAATAAATATTTAATTTGCTAACTAAATATTTAGCTTCAAACCTAAATATTTATTTTCCAAACCAAACATTTAATTTCCAAAATAAATATTTAATTTGCTATCTAAATATTTGGCTCGAACCTAAATATTTATTTTCCAAGCTAAAATTTATTTTCTAAAACAAATATTTAATTTGCTAACTAAATATTTAGCCCAAACCTAAATATTTAACTTGCTAGCTAAATATTTTGCTTACTAGCTAAATATTTAGATTGCAAATTAAATATACTTTAGCATAGCTTGCTAGTTAAATGTTTAGGTCCGTCCGAGCTAAATATTTAGTTAGCAAATTAAATATTTATGTTGAAAATGAAATGTTTAGTTTTGAAAATAAATATTTAGGTCAAACTAAATATTTAGTTAGCAAATTAAATATTTAGTTTAGGAATAAAATGTTTAGCTTAGAACTTAAATGTTTAGTTTGGAAATTAAAATTTTGCTTGGACAATATTTAGTTTGGAAATTAAATGTTTATTTTACACCTAAATATTTAGTTTACCAACTAAATATTTAACATGTAAGTTAAGTATTTAGTTTGTAAACTAAATATTTAGCTTATACATTAAATATTTAATTTGAAACTGTGACATTTATAAATGGATGAAAAACATGGTGAAAATATGACTTTGAAAAAAACAAACTTTTTTCTTACGAAATGCTAAATAAACGAAAATATTGCCGTTAATTTTTGACTGTGTAACTTTACAAACGGCACCCCATAATTTTATGCCAAGATTGATCCAGAAAACTTTACACACTTGAACAAATGGTTAATTACTTAAAAAAAAAAAACTTTTCTTGTTTCACGTTGCCAGTAGTTCTTACGGGGCGTCATCGTACAGTTTAGATGTGGATTGTGTGTCGTACAGGAGTTCTCTTTGTACAACTCATCAAACCGGGGGTCACTGGCACAAGTCGGACGAGTGAAGAGGACGACGACGACTTGAGCTCAATCGATGCCTTCATGGATCTGATAAGGTGAGATCAAAGAGAACGATGTGCAGATAAAATAAAGATAACACTGGTTTTGATCAAACTGTCCTAGATTCAGGTTTGTAAGTGACGCATGGTTTAAAGTGTTTTACTTTTGGTGCTTCGTAGGAACATGGTACCACAAAACATGATTCAGGCCTGCTTCCAATACGTACGTTTGATTCCTTATTCATTAAAAGAGGCCCAGACAACTGAACGCGACTGGCTTTAAAGTACTTTGTTAAATTTTAGTACAAGACCCGGAAGGTCCTGGTGAAAGTTGAATCTCGTCCTTTTAACACGACCCTGGAAGAGGTACTGGAAAACGTTCTCTTGTGTTTGGGATCATTGGCGAGCTGCTGCCGTACGTCTGCTGTGTTTCAGGGAGGCGCTCGTGTGCAGCTGGTGGGCGAGACCATCGACGGGATCAACGTTCTGGGACTGGTTGTGGTGTCCACGCTTTATGGGATGGCCCTCAGGAAGCCTCAACACAGGGGGCCGGCTTTCCTGAGAATTCTTCACGCTGTCAACTTGATTGCTAAACTTGTGATGAAAATGATAATGCAGTAGGTGCAGATAAAACGTGTAAAAACAAGATGTAAACAAATCATTTCAGACGCATCACATTTCATGCAGTTTATTAAACAATGGCTCTTCACAAATACACATTTGTGTTTATCCCCTCTCATATTGTTTTGTCTGAAAGTTTTCTTGTTAACTGCTAATTCCATTAATTGAACTTTTGTTTTTTTATTCATCTTGTGTCCTCGCAGCTATTTTCCCATCGGAGTGGCGTTCATGATGATGAACTATGTTTACGAGGTTTCGACAAACTGGGCGACCGCTCTCAGTCTGGTGAAGTTCCTCGTAGTGGTGTTTTGCGGGTATGTTACTGGCTGGTACAGCAAATATTTGTTCCCTGAAAGCTTCTCGTCAGTAATTGAGTTAGCTCTTGATGACATGCTCCTCGTTAGACTCGCCCTCCATGGATTTATAGTGTTACCGTTCATCCACCTGCTGTTTACGGGACAAAACCCCGTTCCTGTCATTAAAGGGATTTCTCCTGCGTTGCTGAACGCGCTGCTCGTCTCACGCAAGTAAAACCGTCGAACTCTTATTGTTTGTGTCAGGATGAAACCACGGAGGATCTTTGCGCTGACTTGTAGCAAACACTTAAGTGCACGATACAGAAATGTTCCTTCTGTCGTGTCTCGTAGCTCTGCAGCCTCCCAGACTTACGAGCGCTGCGAACAGGTTCTCAGGCTGGACACAAGAGTCACGCAGTACGTGCTGGCTGTTGCGAACCACGCCATCATGAACGGGGCGGCTCTTCATGAGATGGCTGCGGTTGTATACGTCGCCCAACTTACCGGCATCACTTTGAACTGGAGCGAGTTATTTACTACTGGGTAAGCGTCTTATTTAAGTCCCTGTCCCATTTCATCAAAGTCCACTCAGTATGTTGTGTAACGACAGGAGATGAGCCTGAAACGCATTTCTTTGTAAAAAGTGCAGATAAATTCCACTAAAATCGTACGATTCAACATACATCCTTACTTAAGAGCAGTGGTTTCCAAACTTTTTCTGCTGCCTCTCCCTTTGCTTTATAATCACTTGTGTGTTTTAGAGCCGTTTGTTTGTGTTCTGTTTCGGTGCAGCGTGACGGTGGCGGTGGCCACTGTAGGAGAGGCAGGAACCCCAGATCCAGAAATGGCCACCACGCTCTTCATTCTGATCGTCAGCAGGATCCCTGCGAGAGCGGCTTCCGTCCTGCTGGCTGTACGATGGCTGCTGTGAGTTCAGCACCGTGGCTTTGGCAATAATGACGCCACCCGGCAGTAACGGACTCGGCACGGATCATGTGGTTTGTGTGTCTCCTCAGGGATCACCTGAATGCTGCGGTCAGCGTCATGGGGGAGTGCTTCGGTGCGGCGCTCGTTCACAACTTGTCCAAAGAAGAACTGGAACGTACGGGAGAAGAACCCGCCGCAGACAGGTGACATTTTTCACTTTAATTCTTTCTTGTTTTGCGCTAAGGACAAATTTGATTAAAAAAATTAAATCAGTTTAATGGAGTAAAGCAGAATCTGTCGGTTTTAACCTGAATATTAGATGAAAGACTAGAAAGTTCCTGGAGAAACTTTGACGGGGACTGCCTATTTATTCTTCAATTATTATTAAAAATAAATATTATTAATAATAATTAATTATTAATATATCATTGACTTATTAATTATTATAAACTATTGATATATTTGATAATAATTCTGATATTAATAAGTAATATTAAACATCAATTATTAATATTAATAATTATTAACGTTATTATATGTAATTATTAAAATGAATCATTAATAATTTATGTTAATTATTTTTATAATAGGTGCCTTCCATGCATGTTGAACCAAAATGGCTCCCGACGTTACTCGGTTTCTTTGAAAAGTTTCCTCCTATTCATTTCCTGTGGGAAATTTGTCATTTTCGTTGGCAAAATACGTCGCCATGGTAACGCCAATTGCCAATAAAAGTAATGGCACACATCTCGGAGCCGGGCCGGTCGTTTGGATATAACTTGTGGGGGTAGACGCTGCGGTTCGGGCGCATTAACGGAGATAGAAATGCAGACTCACTTCCGAGGTGAATAATAACAGGTGCCAAAAACAGGACCAAACCGAGTGTTTCTCTTCGGTCGTTGCTGCTCTGTCTTTGTTTTATTGCTGGAGGTTTCGTTCTGTTTTTATATAACTTGTTAACTTTCTCCACGAAACGGCTCGTTTGTTGTGAAACATCTGAAAACGGTTTGAAATGTAGTCGATCGATTTAACTCGTTAATTTAGACGAGCAGATTTACAGCAGCACATTTTTTTGTTTGTCAAAGGTCTTATGCATATATCATACATAAATGTATTTTTTAAAGTCGTATTACTGTTTATGCACATTTATTTTCTTTCTTTATGTTGTCCAGTAGCGAGGCTTCACCAAGTGATGCTGCAGGTCCATCCAGGGAGGAGGAGAACTCTGACACAAACTGGGATTTTACTCCCAGAACGGTTTAAGCTCCGCTCAATAAAACTGTTCCTCTTCAGGTTCTGCACTTTGACACGCCTGAAATAGTTTGGCTTTTCTCTCCTTGGTCTCCTTTGTCTCAAGTGTGTGTGTGTGTGTGTGTGTGTGTGTGTGTGTGTGTGTGTGTGTGTGTGTGTGTGTGTGTGTGTGTGTGTGGGTTATGATAAGATTATTAAAATAGTGACAGTTAAACTAAGAGTCAAACATTTAAAGTAAATAAACATTTTGTCTTTGTTTCAAACAAGAATCTCACTCTCAGATATTTAGTTCATTTCCACCAGCAGACTGGACGATCCTGAAACCAGAGTGACCAGTAAAATCATCCAGTTCACTTAAAGACGTCATCCGTGAGCGTTGAGTCAAGTTCTACGTCACAACTTGTTAGTTTGTGTTAACGATGACAATAATTGTTCCGTTTTCCTGAGCGTGTTAATAAACTCTGAAACTATTCACAAGTGACGCGTCGTTAATTATTCAAACACTGGTCTGTTGACGGACTCTTAACTGGAAGGAAACAACTTCACTGTGGGTTCATGGAACAGTTGGAACTTTGGTAACACTTTACAACAAGGTACACAAAATTTGATGAACTACTAGGGAACGCCTCAGGAACTAATCAGGAACTAATGAGTAGTTAACCAGTACCTACTGGGGAACACACAGCCAAACCTTATTAGGGGACTACTGGTTAGTTACCTTGTAAATGAGGAACTAATCAAGAACTAATGGGTAGTTAACCAGTACTGACTGGGGAGCACACAGCCAAGCCTAACTGGGGGACTACTGGTCTGTTACCACAGAAACAGGAGAAATTCTCCATGCGGGTTCTGAATAAACCCTGCACCAGTGAGGTCACAGCTCAGAATTGTCAAAAACCTTTATCCTAGTGATTATCGGTTTTATCACCCATTAGTTCTTGACTAGTTCCTCTTCGTTTCCCAGGTAACTAACCAGTAGTCCTCTATTAAGGCTTGGCTGTGTGTTCCCCAGTACGTACTGGTTACCAACCTGTTCGACCCTGAGGCGTTCCACGGTTAATCAAATTGTGTGTACCTTGTTGTAAAGTGTTACTGGAACTTTAATGCAAACTCTTGTTAATAAGAACAATGCACAAAGACAACTTGTGGTCCTGAACATGTCATCTTTCCGTGTTTTGTTCATTTTATTTGATTTCAGGTTCCTTTGTTTTGTTTTTGAACACCTAAACTTGTGCGACAGCGTAAAGTGCTTTATTATTAAGAGCTTTGTCATCTTTATATTTAGGCAAGCTGAAAAGACTCTTTCTAATTTTAAAGGTTTTCTCGTTGTAGTCTGTTGTGCCACATTTTATCTGCTCAACACAAAGTTGTCTGACTTTTGTCATCACCTCCAAGAAACATGAGTCCAAATTGTGCTGCGTGAAAAACATGCATTTCATATTGTATTACTTCAGTTTGTAAATATTATACAGTTTTGTTAGTAAAATCCACATTTTAATAATAGAACTAATTATATTTTGAATCCATGTAATATGTTTGATCTTAATGCAATAAATTATATTTTCCTCTCAGTTTGGTCAATAAGTGCTGGTTAGAGATTGTGACACTCTTGGTTGGTCTTAGATCAAATCAGTGAAAAGGAGTCGCACATAAACTATTACCAAAACTTCCTTTAGTCTCAGAATGATTCAGAACAGCATTTTGGTTTTGTGGTCCTCGGCTTTCTAAAAGTTGATGAGTGGTAAATCTACTGGGAATTTTCAGCCGTTTGGTGAAAACAAAAGAAGAGATGTTTTCTCTGTCTGCGTAATCTTTAGAAGTGTTAGGCTCAGATTACGTTCTGCCTTAAACAGATGTTGAAATGAAAGAACTGTGATGCAGGTCCATGGAGACTATTGCTGAATGTTTGCAACATTACTCAGCGACTCACAAAGTTCTATTTGTTCAACCATTCAATGAGATGTTAGACCAACAGGTGGACACAACTCACATGGGAAGAAACAAGGAGCTCCAGTGTAGATCGAAGGACCAAGACTGTTCAGAGCTTGCTGTTTTTTTAAAAGGCCAAACTTCTTCGACACCACATGGTGGGTCAAAAGTTCAAATTATTCACCGATACTTAAATTCTGCTCCAAAAATCACGTTTATGAATGGGAGAAGAATGTTCCCATTGTTTCTTTGGTCCAGCAGAGGGAGACTTTAGACTGTTCAGTTCAGTTGAGTTTATTTATATCGCACCAAGTCCCAACACAAGTCATCTCAGGTCACAGAACGAGACAAGTTGTTACTGACTCGACTTCAGCTCAGAATGCTGCTGCTCGCCTTTTAACTGGTACCAGAAAACAAGAGCGCATCACTTCTGGTTTAGATTCACTGCTTTGTCTTCCAGTTGGGTTTTTTTCAATTGTTTTTTTTTAATTATTTTTATTTTTTTAAGTGTTTTAAGAGAGGATTAAAAATAGGAAGTGAGTCAGCCTGATGTGCAAAGGCAGCACAGCCCGGGGGCATCTCTCAGCCTCCTCTTTGGAACCCGAGTCCAAATTTCATACCATAAACCAAATGCAAATGTGAGCTGTTATGACAATAAAAAATAATTGAATCCTTAATTTATAGTTAGACATGGCATACATACAATTATTTTATGTGCAACCAGTCCACATATGTATGTGTAATGTAAAGTGAAACAGACAGAAATTTGTCCAAATAGTTTTACACACTGAGCACTATGCTCAACAGAAACTGCTCTGCAGGCCAGGGGGCGAGACCATGATGACATCCTCTTTGGCTTTTAACTCACATGTTGGCTTTTATTGTTCTTTTCATTTTTTGATAGCTTTTATTAAATTTTGTATATTTTATTCTGGGTTTGAAATGTAACTTCTTTGATTCTGATATTTTCACTTTTTACTGATGTACAGCGCTTTGATGAGCTGGGTTGTTGCTAACATGTTTGTTGGTTTAATATGGGCGGCTGTGACTGAGTGGTTAGAGCAGTCGTCCTCCAATGGGAGAGCTGGGGGTTTGAGTCCACCAGTGTCACAATGGCTTGTGCTGGTGAACCCAATTGGTGCAGGCAAGCAGGCGAGGACTCAGAAATATAAAAACTAAAGAATTTATTAACAAAACAAACAAGCTGACAAGGCAGCAAAACAAAACATATAATGAACAGGAGGTACTCACAGTACAGACAGGTCATCACCAGTGAACAGATTAACAATTCCAGGACAAAGACTAACCCAGAGACACAGACTTATATACAGGAAACTCCAATCAGACAAATTGAAGGCACCTGTGAGTAATCACAGATGCCAGAGACAGAAGATGCACGACACAACATGGGTCTAAACAACCTTATAGAGACATAAACAGAGGATCAGGTGAACACAGACGTGAACACAACACCAAGGACAAAACCACAACTCCTACAACCAGCAGTCACATGCCGAAGTGTCCCTGGGCAAGACACTGAACCCCTCATTGCCTCCAATGTGCGTCCCATTGTGATAAAGCTCTGATTATTCTTTGTACAGATCTAGTAGAGTGCTGTATGAATTAATAAATGAAGGCACAGATTGTCGTGTAAAGCACTTTGAGTATCTTGATAAGATAGAAAGGCTCTATATTTAATGACCCCAAGTTGGCAGACTGAAGAGGCACAGACTCATTATACAAAGATAAGTGATTTTATTTACAGTGCTTGAGAGATTTTCTGGCTGTGGGAGGAACAAGGAGACTTTAGTTGTTTCCAGAGATCTTGGTTGGCGAGTATGTTTGTCGAAATTGTTCTTACTGTTTGTTTGTAGGTCGCGTTGGAGAGGGGGAGAGGTGCGATGCAGAGGAGATGGAGATGTGATCCAGACTAAAGGTTTGAGGTGATCATTGTTTGGCCCAGGCTGAGTCTTGTTGGTTTGTGGAGAACAGGATGATGTCCAGGCAAGGTCACGAGGAGCAAGGAGGTGGTCGAGGAGACACGGAGGAGCAGGACTTGAAAACACGGGGAAAAAAATCACAAGATAAGTCAACGTTTCTCAATGAATAATTTTTGTCTGTCATTTTATTTACCAGAGGCAATATAATGTTCCAGGGTTGGATGAACATCTGTCATGGGTTTAAGTAGCGCAGTGGAAGTAATCGAAATCAGGTGCAGGTGTGGTTGGGTGGATGACTGAATTATGCTGCTATAGGTTCAGACTACTAGAGGACAAATTGACCTCATTTCCTTAAATGAATTGTTTAAATTAAATAGTTTTCATTTGATACTATTTCTATCTTGACATGTGATTCTTGACCTGCCATTGTGTATCTATTCCTACCAAACTCAGCTGGTCGAAGCAGATGGTCCTCTTGTCCTGATCCTGGTTCTGCTAAAGGTTTCTTCCTCATGAGGGAGTTTTTCTTTCCACTGTCGCCTTCATGCTCGCTCAAGATGAGAGTTCAGTGATGGAGTTAAACTCAAAGCTGCTCCTCAGATAAATAATGTTCAATTATTGTTCAATTATTTTATAGATGAATGTTTCTGTTAAATTATTATTTTATACATGAATGTTTCTGTT